GGCAAATGTTAGCATCAACAAAGTAAAGTTAGCATAAAAAAGCCCAAACGTTAGCATATAAATTAGCTAATAGCAATGTGAGACTTTAAATATCTCAAAAATAACATTAAGGAATTAGCAAGCATGAAAAAAAAAACCCCACATGATTAAAACTACTTCAGTTTTAAAGTACAGCATTTGTACAATACTTATATGGTACAGTACAGTTACTTTTCAAGTATTAGTACTTTACTTGAGTAGTCTACTCCTACTTCATGCCCCTATACTTTATCTAAACCTAATTCTGATCATTTTTGGAGCAATTTAAGACCTCATTAAATAAAAAAAAAATGTGGAAAATGAATGATGAAAGCAATAAACAACAACAGCAACGATAGTAAAACTTAAAGAGGAGCAAAAAATAGAGAAAAGACGTAAACAAATACAACCTGGGTAAAGAAAAACTAAAACAATTCTCCTACAGTTTAGAGGTAAATATTGTACTTTTGATAGATAAATGCTGACGTATTATCATGTCATTCAGGTCCTCAGCCGTTCATAAAGTAGCTCTAATGAACTAACTGACTTAATGCTACAATAAAACAGAAGTTTGGTTGTTTTTACTGAAGCTCTGAGGAATAAAATAATTTCCTAAATGTTCTGTTTTCCAGGATGAGTCCATTTAGTGTTGATGTGTGAAGTAAACACTGATGCAGAAGCTCTGAGGTAAAATCCTGAACGCATGACTGGAGTGTTTTTGTGTCACTGAAGCAGAAGTTGTGAGAATCGGGTCGAGGTTCCGAGCGGGTCGGCTGCCTGGGAACGGGCCACGGCGGCGACGGTCCTCACAAGGATAGAAGCACCGGCGAGCGCGCGTGGACCTCCAGGAGTAAATTGAAGCCAGAAGCGAAGCTGCGCTCGGAGCCAAGCGAGCATCCAGCGCCCCGCCCTCAAAGGCTCATGGGAAATCTAAGCAGTGGTCGCTGCTGGGAGGAGGAGGAGGAGGAGGAGGAGGCCCTGCCTATCAGAACCAACGGGTCGACTTAACACAAACACACACTCAGACTGCTGTGTGTTCGTTCAGTCAGTTTGACAGTTTGGACGTTTTTCTTTCTTCTCACTGATTGTTAGATGCTCAGATTGTTAGCTTAGCTTAGCATAAAGACTGGAAACAGAGGGAAACTGCTAGCGTGACATGGCAACACGACAATACAGTCAAGAATTAAATAATGATAATTAAAAAGCTGCAGCGTTTATGTTCATTCTGAGTCTCTGTTTACATGTTCTTTACTTTATTGAACAGAAACACCAGGATGGCACAAAACATCCTAAATATTTATGATGCAGTCGCCACTTTACACATTATACAAACAATATTATCAATATGTGGTCTGCAGAAATTAAATTTAAATGAAAAATAAATCAGGTTCTGTGTTACAAGTTTATTCTAAACTTAAATTAATAAGTTTCAGGGACTCTGCTTTTTGAAAAACTACAATACCCATGAGCCTCAGCTGCTCTGCTTCAGTGATATCATAAGAATATTATACAGGAATCTAAACGGTAAAGTCCTGTGTTTAAATATAAAATACTACACAGGGTTTTAGTGTCAAAGCAATAAACTCGTCTTTGTTTTCCAGTAATAGAAAATACATGTAAGTTTAATAATCTGAAGTTAATTTAAAATCAGTGCTGCCACGAACAACTATTTAAAAACGTCAACATTTAGACAATAATCACAAAAAGAAAAGATAATTTCATTTATATTTTCTCTATTCTGTCAAACCGTTCGTCCTCGTATGAAAATAAACACAGATTTATAATAAAACTGTCGAGTTTAACAGGATAAAAACACGTTTAACATAATGATGGTTATTTGTGGTGCAGCTTAAAAAACTGAAACTTTCTATGAAGCTCCTGAACTGAAGGACAAACCGACTCTTTGATCATCTGCAGTTCATTCTGAAGCTGATTTAAACTGATTTATTGTTTCTGCTGCAGCAAAAACACGTCGTCAAGAAATAAAAGAAAACATGAATAAAATCGATGCCGAGGCTTTTTTAATAACAGAAGCGGTTGTTACATGAACTCCTCACTGCTGCTGCTAAATATTTGTTGATTTATTCGACTTTTTTAACCAACTGTTGATTGTTGTGGTTTTTTTCACGTCTACAGAGAAACGACAAATAATAATAATAAAACCTTAATCATGACGGCTCCACTGAACATTTCTAATTTTCATATTCAGCTTTAAGAACTACAGAAACTATAAACGTGACTTTAAAGTGAGTGAATTCAACTTATTGAATTATTAGTTTATCAAGAAAACAATCAGCATTCCTGGAGTTAAACCTGTTGAGTTGTTTTTTTTTTGTAGTTTCAAGAAAACAGACATGATGGAGACCTACGGAGGAGGTTCTTATTTGATTTTATTTTTTAAATTTTTAAATCATTTTTTATTTCTTTTTTAATGCTTTAATTTAAAACATTTTTTAAAATTATGTTTTGTTTTGTTTTGTTTTTTAAATTTTTAAATGATTTTTTAAAATTATTTTTTCATTTTTATTTTAATTTATTTTATTTTTTTCCTCTTTTTTAATGTCACTTTTAAAGCAAAGGAAATGTGCTTTTCAAGCCACATTATGAAAAAATAAAAATAAACAAAAATGAAAAATAAACAAATAATAATAATAATAATGTTGATAAAATAAATAAATACATTTTTAAATGAATAGTAAATAATTAATATATTATTATTATTGTATTATTTCATTTATTTGTCTTTATATTTTTACTCATATGCGTCTTTTCTTTTATGGATTCATTTTTATTAATATTGCTTCTTATTGCCACATTATTCATTTTTTATTTTATTTATTCTTCTTTGTTTTGTTGATTCTCTGCATAACACTTAAAATAATAATTAACCGTGATGAAGATCATTTTTAATTTCAGTCCTTTTTGCATCAACAAGTTCAGCTTCTTGTCTTTCAGCTGATTCTGGTTCAGAGTTCTTCACAGTAAATGAATTACAGTTAATCTGACGTCAGAACGTTTGTCATAAATCACCAAATAAAACTATTGTTAGCATCAAAAAACACAACGCTTGCTTTGTTCAAACTACAAAATTATTAATAATGCATGAAAATGATTAAAAAATCTAAAAAGAAAATCACAGCAGCCTCATCGTTGAGCCATTAAATGTCTTTTTTTTCTACATATATGAACAATAAGTTGTCATTTTCAATATTTTAACGTCTAAATTGTGAAGCCACAGATTCTCTGAATACTCTGGTCTCTGAAGCCTTTTTTCTGCCACGGCTGATTTATTATTTCATGTATAATTATATTCTTCACTGTCCCTCTTTGTGTTGGTTCTGATGCTGTTCTCGTGTCTCTGCTGCTTTCTGCTGAAAATCTTCCTCAAACTTCCTCTCAGTGCCAGCCTCAGTCTTCTCCAGAGCCCAGAAAACCAGCGGCGCTGCTGCAGCCATTCATCAGATACACTCGCTCTTTGTCACATATGAGATAATAGCTGCTTTTTAACCAGCAGCGACGCACTAAACCACGTCTTCACTGCAGCATGTTCATCCAACGGCTGCTGGCGGTTGTGGGTCGGGTTCTAAAAGTCCACATCAATGATCGGACTGTTGTTTTTTTGACAAGCTGAGCAGTGAGAAGGCGCCACTAACCAAACATTTAGCTCCATTAATTGAGTAATTTACTGATATTTATTAGTTTCACCTCAACCAGCGACTAAACGCCGCCAACAAACGTCCAACTGCGTCACCAAAGTGGCCGAGAAGGTCACTGGGTGCCCTCTGCCCACTGGAGCACCTTCATGGAGGACCTTAGTGCCTCAGGAGAGCCCACACCATCCTGAAGGCCTCCTACCACCCGGGCCAGTACAGGGCCATCAGAACCAGGACCAGCAGACTGAAACACGGCTTCTGTCCAACTGCTGTCAGAGCCACAAACGCCTCTTTATCAGGCTAACAAATAAATAAACAAATCAAAGTAATCCTCTGGATGTTCTCAGACGCTGGCGGTGCACCAAGACTCTCGTGTTCACTCAACAGCAGAACGTTGGGCGAGTCTGACTTGTTATTAAAGTGGATAAAGCTGCTGGACTGAGCTGCTTCTGCTGCTGATGCTTCAACTACATGGAGTTTGTAATACCTGTGTACTTCTACTCCCAATACTTCAACAACACGTGTACTTCTACTCCCAATACTTCAACTACACATGTACTTCTACTCCCAATACTTCAACAACACGTGTACTTCTACTCCCAATACTTTGACTACATTAGGCTGACAACACGCGTATTTTTACTTCTGATACTCAGACTATATGAAGCTGATAATACTTGTGTACTTTCTGTCACTAATGATACTTGTGTATTTTACTAGTGATACTTTAATCACATGAGGCTGATATTGTTTGTGTACTTGCTGATACTTTGACTACATGACCCTGATTATTCTTGTGTACTTTTACTACTCACATTTTAACGAGTTGACACTGATGATTAATTCTGATACTTTCACTACATGGGGCTGGTAATACTTGTGTACTTTTCCTTATGATAGTTTAACTACATGAGGTTGGTAATACTTGTGTACTTTGACTACAAGAACACAACATACTTTTACTGCTGATACCTGAACCACACCAAGCTGGTAATACTTGAGTATTTTTACTGCTGCTACTCTAACTACACTAAGCTGACAGTACTCATGTAGTATTACTGTGCATACTTTACATGAAGCTGGTAATATTTGTGTACTTCTACTACTGATAATATAACTACATGACACTGACAGTACTTGTGTACTTTTACTCCTGATATTTAACCACATGAAGTGACAACAGTTGTGTACTTTAACTCCATCAAGCTGGTAATATTTGTGTACTTTTTCTACAAGAGCATATAATGCACGTACTTTTACTGCTGCTACTTTAACCACACCAAGCTGGTATTACTTGTGTACTTTTACTGCTGCTACTTTAACTACATGAAGCTGGCAAAATGTGTGTACTTCTACTACTGATAATATAACTACATGAGGCTGGTAATATTTGTGTACTTTTTCTACAAGAGCATATAACACACATACTTTAACTACTGATACTTTAACCACACCAAGCTGGTAATACTTGTGTACTTTTACTTGTGATACTTGAACCACATGAAGTGACAACAGTTGTGTACTT